AAAAGTACTGTCTTTTATAAAAGTTGAGTAAAGGAGAGTACAATTTTCTCTAGTAAAACAGAGCGAAGATGTACATATGTCGTAAGAGGTTGAGGGTAGTACTACTTAAAATGGTGACGTCATTGTTGTAGACGCCACATTCTTTGTAGAACTAGTCATCCACTAAGTTTTTATTGTCAGAACACCGCCAAACTCAAAATAGGTTATATTTGGTTTATTTTACAAACTGTAATTTTTGACTTACGATTTTTATTGTTATTCATTTTTATTTTATGATTAATTTCTTTTTTATTCAAACTTTTACATTTGATTTTGTATTGATTGTTTGTAGATTTTAGTATTGTCTACCTAAAGTGATTGATTTAGTACTAAATCAATACATGATATACTGTACAATTAATGGCAAAACATGTAGACTCTGTACTAACCAAAAACACCTTCATTGTAATTACTCATGTTTTACTAAATAAATATATCTCTATCTCTAACAATAATAATTTAGAGCTCTGAAAAGTACGACGGTGGAATTAACAAAAATGTCTAGGACAATGTATGACGGTATATATATACTCGGGCGAGTAATATAATATGTATCTATACGATTTCTAGTGTGGGTATTAAATTACATACTTTAGCCATAATATGTTTACGTTGTAATTGATTAAACATTAAATAATTCATGATTTATGAACTAGTTTCAAGCTAATCAAACGTAACTTACATTTCAAATATTGATTATTATATTTTTAAAATTCAATCATTCATTTATTTGTATTCCTTCGCTTCTCGCCATATATTTTAGTACTGTAAAGCAACCAGCCTAAGTTTATTGTTGCATTTGGAAATAGAAAAAAATAAACATTCACATTTTTCTCTGTCATATATTCGAACTCAGTGACTTCGAAAAAAGACGTTTCACTCAGCAGTCGTTTGTTTACGATTTCAAAAAAAGATGTAGTGAAAGAAATACATGGAATAAATAATTTTATATACATACTAAAAGAAATGGCCATCAATTTATCAATTATCATGAAAACAGATCCATGGTATACATTGGATGACCTGATAATCACTATTATCCTAAAGTATTCATAATTATATCAGCCTTTCAAGTGACTTGTGTACAAATATAATATATTTTTAACAAAGCTCTCCATAGTTCCTTATCAACCAAATAGAATAATGATAGTATTCACAATATACTAATGGCTTCCTATCGTAAAACCTATAATAATAATAATATGGCCCATAAATATGGTCTCAATAAAGTATAATTAGTTTTTATTGATGCCACTCTCATTTGGTTAGATTAGTTTAATGTGATTGGGTGTTTTTGAGTGCTATGAGAGCACAATATTATAGGCTATAAGCTAAAGAAGAAACAAAATTCTTTCTTTGTATCCTTAATTCACCAAAGGCTGGCAATGCACTGTGGGTCTGGTTTTGTATTGTACACTTCTAACATTGTTGCCAGTTAGTGGGAGTTTCTATTATAAGAGTTTCAAAAAAGGAACTGAATAGTAACGTGAGTGTAATATTGTGTAAATAAACCCTAATAGCGTGATTTAGGAAGATGATGAAGTGACGTCATTTACTTCTATGACTAACCTAAACAGTGTTATGTTATGTTACCAAGGACATTGAAAAAAAGGCGGACATAGTCTCTTGAAACAAAGGCTGTGGCACCTGGCTACTATAGACTTACACGCAGAATACACACACATTGACACGAAGGACATCTTTCTTGTGACATGGCCCGACATTACACTTCATACTTTACGGTGTTGCAAGCACACATAAATACACCACTGACATTTTGGTGCTTCAATCAATTATAAGTCATTACGAGACATTATAATGCATTATCACTACGTAGTATAAAATAGAGTCGCTATCCCTCGTCTGTTCCTATGTATGCTTAGATCTTTAAAACTACGAAACGGGTTTTGATGCGGTTTTTTAATAGATAGAGAGATTCTTAAGGAAAGTTTATTTGTATAATACATGCACGTGCGAAGTCGGGGCGGGTCGCTAGTTCATTATAAGACATTACGTCCTTTTTTTCAATATCCTTGTATGTAACTATCGATTCTTAAAAACCTTTTTCATAGCATAGACTTATGTAAACCACTTTTAGAAAAACCCTATATTTCACCCTATTTACTACTCCATAACATATCTAAAATAATGACCACAAAACTGGATATCCAATCTTCAAACAACTGGGTCGCTGGCAGCCATTATATTCCCAAAAAATACCACAGTAGACAGTAACGATATGATATCTCGATAAATTCCACAAATGATTACTGAGAACAGCCAAAACATTCGATGAAAGTGAAAAAATAAGACACTTTTCCGACCTATAAATGTGTACCTACATAGGTATATACTTTATACGGAATAGAAAACATTTACATAATGTAATATACATAAAAATAACACCTTATTAGTAATAACGGGAAGAGATAGACAACAGCGTAACTTAACTGAACCTATATAACTATGTAAAGAATTGTATTGTAAACCTGATTGAAAAAGAGTAACCTATGGAGTTTCTTGCTCGTTCTTCTCCATAGGAATCTACTCATTGGAATGAGCAAATAGTTTCATTTTTAAATTTTTTGTTGACGTTCAAAGGTGATTTTCTAGTCTAATTAAAATTAATGATTTTGACTTTGACTTTTAGAGTGAGCTTAGGCAAAATTACCTACTGATAAATTATAATTGAATATCCCAAAACTACTATAAGTCTAATGGCCGTTTTTACTAACCATCCCCAAATTGTTTCTTAATTAACTCGTCGAGTACTGGTTTTGTAGACACAATTATAGAACAATAGGTTGCGGTCACCGGTGACCGCTTGATGTTTGACAGTTTAAGCATTACTTAGCGTACCGTAGCACCTAACCTATCCTATTCTTGTACTGTAAGTGTCACCTATGGGTTGGTTACAATCAAAATGTCGTTAAATATACCTTACTATCTTAGCTTAAGAGTTCCTTAACATTAAAAAGAGATTGGTGAAAACACTGGTAACACTGCTAAACCTGACACCTGAATTAATTCGTTGAGTACCGTCATTATAGACACAATTAAAGAACGAGGTTGCGGTCACCGGTGACCGCGCGGTGTTTGACAGTTTAAATCACATTGCCTAATTAATACTTTAGCAATAATTCACCAATGACGTCATTCATGATTTCTTTTTCTTTTGTTTATAGGCAGGCGTGCTTCATCGTTGGTCGCATCTATGCTTACCATCAGGCAAGATAATGGCCAAACGCTGACCAATTAGTTACAAAAAATTAGGTAAGTTTTTAAAGTTAACCTTAACACGATGGGATAGACACTTTTTATCTTATGAACAAGTAAGTCTACCATACACCAGAAACTTTACCAAACTCTAGGCTACTAAGAATTCGAAAAACTGAAGAATACTCAATGGGTTTTACAACCACTGGACGAAAGAAGTATACTAAGCTTTATAAATACACTAGCGACCCGCCCCGGCTTCGTACGGGTGCAATATGCATATATTATACATATAAACGCTCCTTAAGAATCACTCTATCTATTAAAATAAACCGCATCAAATTCCGTTGCGTAGTTTTAAAGATCTAAGCCTACATAGGGACAGACAGACGGCGGATAGCGACTTTGTGCTATGTAGTGAAGTACTCCATTTTGATCTTAAAGAAGGTATTCAGTACCTGAAGTTATCGACCTTAGATAAAAGTGTCTAGATCCATTCATACATACATGGAATTGCGACACGTGCTTGGCTGAAAAATATTCTTTTTGAATGTACTGGTCGATGACCGACTATGTGAGCTTGACTCGTTCACGTAACGATGACTATGAGAATACTGAAGTAATGTTTTATAGGTATTATTTTGTATTTTAAATATGATTTATTGATTTATTTACTTGGAAAACCAACGTCTGTACAATGGAACTACTACGAAGAAAGTGATATGTGATAAAAAAAACAATTATAGGTTTTCAAGATTAGTTACCGATTAAAGAAAAGCTGTTATGTCAACACATACATTTTTAAATAGCATGTGAGAATATGAACTTTCTAAAAATATTTCTATGCAAAATTGAAATCGTATATACAAATATCAATATTTAACGAAGACACTAAATATTACAAAATTAAATATATACAACTTAAGATTAATAGTTTGTTTTTCCTATAATTAATTTTAATCTTAAGTTGTATATATTTAATTTAGTAATATTTAGTTTTAATTTTATTTAAGTAATAGTTGTAATTTAAGTTTTTTATTGAAATAAACGATTTGTTAGCTAAAATGAAGATAAATTTTTAAATAACAAAACCTTCTTCAAAAAGGACAAAAATGGAGACATTTATTTTTTTTCTCTGTTAAATTTTCAGAAAACTGGCAACCTTCCAGTAATGCTTATAAAGACTGTAGGGTCACAGATGCATTCCTATTCATGTTGCACGATTCGAGAATAAAACGTATCCCAAAACTCTATAGAGTTTCTCACTCTACAAATTTTATCAATAACAGGGTAGGGGGGTACACAGTGTTATTGATAAAATTTTGCTACAAGCAAAAAAAACTTTAAAGACGTTTTAAAGCATTGAGTATATACATATATACATCCTACAACTGCCTCGTTGGCCGAGTGGTCGCAAGTGCGACTGCCGGGCAAGGGGTCTGAAAATGTGCCCGGTATATATCAATAGCCTCACCCCCTATTACATGGGACTCATAACATAAATAGTAAAAAGTGGGTGTTACATTGTACAGTGGCATTAAGTGCCAAAATGTGCACCTCTGCCTACCCTTTCGGGGATAAAAGGCGTGATGTTATGTATGTACATCCTTCAAGTCCAGAGTACGCATTACTAAGATTTCCCTAAAATCAAATTAACCCAATCGTTTTCCCAGAGTAGGGCGGTCACCCCGAGACCTCTTTACCATGAATAACAAACCGCTTGACCAACAAGAATCTCACATCACCAAACCACAAAAAACCGAACATCCTTGTCTACATACTTTGGCAAACACAAAGTAATGTTAACAAGCCGAGCCATATAGATGTGTGTTCCGAATCAGACACATAACATTAACATTGTGTCGCGTAAATCAAGCCAAAAAGACTATAAACCCACCATTTTGAATTGTAAATGTGGAAAAAGGAATATTTGTCACTCCGCATGCCCAAGTCATGAAGCAATGCGCAGTTTTTGGTTAGGGAAATTGCTGTTTTTCTCTTTTCTTTAGGAAAAGAAATGGCGGATAGAAACTAGGTATTACTTTAGGATCTAGAATGAATTCTGATGCTCGTACTTATGTTTTGTTTGGGAAAAATATAGGAATTGAATTTGTTATAAATTCAATTCCGAATGTGTGATCTAATCATGTTTTCGTGTAGGGTTTAGGAAGATGAAAGTGGGCGTGGTGCCTTTTTGATGCCTAATTTTGTTTGGTTCTTAATCTAGAGTACTCTAATATGACTATTGTATATTTGGATTGATATTCCTACTAGCTTTTACCCGCGGCTTTGCTCGCATCACTAAAGGATAAAAAGTAGCCTATGTGACATATACCAATACACACAGCGCCATCTATACCAATACTTTTGTTTTTCCTCGAGAATATAAAAATTTTCCGGGTTAAAAAGTACTCTATTATTTAATTCGGACTTCTAACTTTACGTCTGCAAAAATTCAAAGCAATCGGTTTAGTAGTTACGGCGTGAAAGTGGAACAAACTCACTTTCCGATTTATAATATTATAGTAAGGATAAGAATATTCTTAGTTGTGATATATAAAATTTATAGAATAAAGTGTTTAACTAAGTGCGCTTCTCTATCACAAGTTCTTTTTATGAATGTGATCAGATAATTTTTGTCTAATAAAATTTTTAAGGAAAATAACTGTGACTAATATATACTGTACACTGCCTGGTACAATGTACCTAGGAGCGTTACATACACAAATAATAGATACAAAAAATGCGTAATGAAACTTTATTAGTTCGTTTTTCGCAGTTAACCATGAATAGTTTAAAACCTCCTTAACGGTAGCTAGGGTAGGAAAGCATGCGAAACTATTAGAAGAAGAACCAAATAGAATCATTTTACTATCTTTGTATACTTTCGTGAGACATACTAAATATATTATTATGTTTACGGCTTACTCACATAATTATTTGACGAGGAACTCGACTAGTTACAAGCCGTGCTAGAGGCTCATATTCACGAGCAGCATTTCGCGACCCGCGACGCGGCGAGTATCGCGCTGCTGCTGTCAAATAATTACGTAAGTAAGCCGAAAACATAATAATACATTTTACTATCTTTTGCCCAATTAACCGTAAACTGTTATCGTGACTTTTAATTGTACTTGGAAAATATTGCGAATAAAATGACGTTAGAAACATTCACTTCTTTAGACGACGTCGTCATATTTTTTTATTTCATCACAAAAAGGCGTGTTACGTCATCTGCACCCGTCACAGATAGAAATCTCTTGTAGCTGGAGGCTTGGAAACTAGAGACGATATTCTGTTAGTGTTGGAACATAAGTTACTTTTCGTATTTTCTTGGAACCTCCATTTTTTGCTAAGAATTGGTATCATGTCAGCAAATAAATGTACTCTACCACCTTTCAACAGATTCGATTAAATGTTATTCTTTTTTTTTTCATTTGAAAAATGTTAGAACAAAACTGTAATAATTTTGGTCCTACTGAATTGTTGGTCAAAAAATATTGCTCTCGAGTAAGCTTTCAAAGAATCCTTACAATACAAACAAGGTAATGTATTGATCTTTTAAAAGAACACATTCATTTTATACTAAAAATGTACCACTCCAATCAAATAGAGTTGTCACTGCCAAGCAGATATAAAGGATTTCTACCCTTTGAACCCTTTAGTTGCACAAAATCCTCGTTATCCACTCGACTATTTTGTAAACCTGCACAGTCATACACAAACAATAGATACAAAATACCTGACAAACCATTTCCGAAAAACTCAAACGATCCCATTACGAAACAAACTCAAAACTCGACTCATCAATTGTAGAAACGGACTTCCAAAATTGATGAACCGAGAACGATATAATCTCTTTATCTCAAATCGCCGTTTTTAAAGCCCCAACTAAAAGTACTGTGAAAAATATCCTCGCCAGCTGGCTGGTACAAACGTCCCCCATACTTCGAAACTTGTAAGAACCATTCCATCGCTACGTGCCGCATCCATTGCTGGTTCTCAACCGATTACAACTCGTTCATTCCTTCCGACTACGTAATGGACGTTGTTTGGACCGAGTTTGTAGTTTGTTGGAATTACGTGGCTCGTTTGACATTGAGCAAGGGGTTCCACTTTTAAGATTCAATCTTGTAAAGACTGAAATCGGTTCAAGTTTTTTGTCGAATCGTTTTTGAGTTTGATGTTTTATTGATAGGGGAATTAAATAGAATGGAAAATTACCCTTTCATTTAAAAGGGAAGAAAATAACGTTCAGGAGATTTGTGTGAATTGTCGACATTATTTACAACTTTGTCAAGTTTCTATATTCCAATATTTGTTCTTAATAAGTGCTTGGAAGCCTTTAGATAAATAGATAACATAACATAACATCACGCCTTTTATCCCCGAAGGGGTAGGCAGAGGTGCACACAAAAGTAACACCCACTTTTCACTATTTATGTCATGAGTCCCATGTAATAAGGGGTGAGCCTATTGCCATATACCGGGCACATTTCCAGACTCCGTGCTACTACTGAGAATTTTTTTTAAAACCTAGTAATACTTTGCCCGATCCGAGAATCGAACCCGAGACCCATTGCCCGGCAGTCGCACTGGCGACCACTCTAAAATTTGTTCCTACAAAGTTCTTGGAAGCCCTTAGATAAATAGATACTATGTTAATAAATTAAAAACATTAAAAAAATAGGCACTGTAAACCATGTGTGAAATATATTACTCACTATTTATTCTAGTTCATAAACAATAATAACACACACAGACAGTTCTCTAATTTTATACAAACATTATTAAAACAACTAATTAACATATACAGCATTATAATAAAAAATAAAGTTACGTACTAATTTTGTTTATTTTCTGACTAACAAAATTATAACTCCACTCTTCTCAATTAGTAGAATTACTGTGTAATAACATACAATTAAAATAATTAATATTAAAACCTCTCTTAGGTTTCATTAGACTTCGTACACTCGACTGAATATGACACACGTTTCACAAGAAACACTTTAAAATATTAATCATTACGTATTTAGGCTTACTCGCATATACGC